GTCAGACAACGATTCCGTAGTCCTAGTGGTATATCTGGTCCTTAGACTTGAGACACCAAGGATATCCTGTATGAGTGCTCCACTCTTTGATACCAGACTTAAAGGTTTGGCTGTCCCAGATCTAGTACAACTGGTCATGGGAGTGGTAGTCGACCTTACGAGGGCTATTGAGTGTCGATAGAGGATCATCCACTCTCGGCGTCATGAGAGGAATATCCCATGTGTTCTTGCTCAGACAAATCCCTGTCCAAGGTCATTCGGGTTGAGAGAGAAAGAGTTGTCCGGGAGAATCCAATTAGAGCGAGACTCGAGTAGAAACCGTTTGGGTCTGACAGCACAATGCTCGATATACGGTCTCTGGGATATTAGATAGATGAGGGACTATATGTACACGATAACAAGGACAGACATGTCCAATGGATTGGATTCCCCTGTATCGTCTGGGGACTACGGCGTAGTGGCCTAGTACGTTCGTAGTCGATGAGTCAAGTGAATTATTACAGAGATAATAATTCATTGAGTTAGAAGGAGTTCTGACAGGTATGACTCACGGCCAGCTCGATATTGGGCCTAGAGGGTCATACACATATGGTAGGCATTGCGATGAGTAGAGGTTCGGATACGAGATATCCGACGGAGCGGAGCCCTTGTCTTATTGGATATCCAATAAGCCCCTGAATTATTGGATCTCATGGACGAGATCCAATAAGAGCCCGTGAGAGATTATTAGATAGAGATCCAGTAATATAAAAGGATTGGGTTATTGGATGCAGATCCAATACCCACTAGGGGAGGATCCATTAGGGTTTGATAGGGGACCTCTATAAATAGGAGGGATTCAGAGCCTCATAGGCTAGAGTCTTTGCTTGCCTCTCCTATTCTCCTCCCCTCTCCACCTCAGAGCAGGCCTGGAGTTTTGAGGAGCATCGTCGCAGCCCTATTATGTGGATCACCGCTAGAGAGGAGGACGCTTGACCTCCTTCACCCTCTCCTAAGGATCTACATGGAAATAGGGATATACGATCTCCCTAGGTAACACAATCTACTCTATACGCAGTTTTTCAGTTTCGTAGATTTTACGCACCAATCTTCGCACGACGACGAACATCTCTTTGGGAATCAGGGATTTTGTTTTCTTGTTCTTCCGCTGCGCATGTGATGTCGCCCCCAAGATTTCCCAACAAAAGGTACATGAGTGGATGAGCTCTCAAGCATCCTGTGGGTGTCCCGAACCACCCCCAAGATCAGCTCAGGTGATCATGTTTTACCTTAGGCATTCGGCATGAGGTGATCCTCCCATCTAAGATAGTCCTTCTGGCCCCTCAAGTAGAAAATTTTGACAAAACCATGTCCAAAGAAGGACTTTGAGTTGGGCTAGACCTGATCAACAAGCTGAGAGTCAAAGCGTATCTCTGAGCCCTATGATACAAGTAAGCGATGGCAAAACTTTACAACCACAAGGTTCACCTACGTAAGGTTGGGGCTGGAGACCTGGTGCTCCAAAAAGTCGAGATCAGTGAACCGACTAGTTCTCGAGGGAAGCTGGTGCCAAAATGGGAAGGATCTTATAGGGTGGTCGAGGTAGTCCAAGATGAGATGTATCGCCTTGAGACCATGAAGGCCAAAACACTACCAAGGACCTGGCACATCGCTGATTTAGAGAGATTATACCCCTAAGTCAGTGCTTGCGATGATGGCGAAGATTGTATCGCCTACCCTAGCACAACCACAGAAGCATCGGAAGAGGGGCACTCGGATCCCCAAGCAGATCAAGCCCACTGAGGAGGATTCCACTAAAAGGGGTGTAAGCGATCAGGATACCTCACAATAGCAAAAACCACCTTCAACACGAATGAATCCAACACCAAGCGGATCTAGTCTCTTGCCTTAATGCGGTTGAGCCGGACCTCCGGATGGGTCAAGATCCCGGCTTCAACATGGTTGAGTCTGACTGAGGATGGATCTTCTCTCCCACCTTGATGCGATTGAGTCAAACCTTTAGATGGGTCTAAACCCTCGGTTCAATGCGGTTGAATCCGACCTCGAAAAGATCCTATCTCTTGCCTTAATGCAGTTGAGTCGAACCTCCAGATGGGTCCAAATCCCCACTTCAACATGGCTGAGTCTAGCCCCGATTAGATCCTATCTATTGCCTTAATGCAATTGAGTCGAACCTCTGAATGTGTTCGGACCCCTGCTTCAACGCAGTTGAGCTTGACCCTAGACGAATCTAGTCTCCCATCTTAATGCAATTGAGCAAAACCTCTAGATAGGTCTGGACCTTCGCTTCAATGTGACTGAGTCTGACCTTGGACGAGCCTAGTCCTTTGCCTCGATGAGGCTAAGCTCAGCTACCCAAGAGCTGCACTTAGGTCAAGCCTATGCACTCCCTAATCGTGCACCTCGATGAGAAGCCTTGAGGGCTACACCTAGGCCGAGCTTACGCACTTCCTAGTCATGCACTCAGTTTGAAGACCCAAGGGTGGCATCTCGAATGAGTAAGAGTTAAAAAGGACTCTCTCCCAAGCCATGCACCTAGGCTGAGCTGACGTGCTTCCTAGTCATACACCTTGGTGAGAAGCCCCAAGGCCTGCACCTAGGCTAAGCTTACATGATCTATAACTATGCACTCAACATGAAGACCCCAAAGTAGCACCTCAGATGAGTAAGAGTTAAAAAAGACTCACTCCTGAGCCATGCACCTAGGCGTGAAGCCCCAAGGACTATACCTATGTCGAGCCTATGCGCTCTCTAGCCATGCACCTCAGTGAGAAGATCCAAGGGATGCACCTAGGCTGAGCTTACATGCTCCCTAGCCATGCACTCAGCATGAAAACCCCAGGACCATATCTCAGCCAAACTGGCATATTCCTAACATCCCAGCCAACAAACTTTTATCAAAGCACACACCCAACAGGAGAGCACGCAAGTGTGCCCTCCAAAGAAAGGCCTCGAAGGATGCCCTTCCGAGGGGGGGCAAATGATATGGATGATTTTGCCCTATGACAACTCATCTGCTATCGAGGCCGACACCTAAGCATGACTCCAAGTCACCAGCCCCAAAATGGCATTGCAATGCATCCTGATGTGTCTCACTTGCAATAATCATCATATCTTATCAAGATTGAAGAATGATTAGGTAGTTCACCTAATCTTATCCTAGACCATCTAAGTAAGAAGGCCCAGAAATCAGGTATAAAAGGGAACCATCAACTCACGTTGAAGGAGGGGAGGGCTCCCATCAACTCACGTTGGAGGGGAGGGCTCTCTCTCTCTCTCTCTCTCTCTATGTCTCTCTCTCCATACCAACTTAGTCATACAACTTATACTACTGTCTTCTTCCCTTTGCTGACTTAAGTATCACCAACATAACGTCTTCCGACCGAGTAGCATATACGGTCTCACCTTACCAAGTCTCTCACGTTAGCCAGAAAGAGACACCTAAATGAGCCTATATCTTCGATAATGGACTAATCATGTCGACTTACGATGATACTTATGACACTCACTACTTTTGATAGTAGTAATGGCAGATATTATGATCGATGGAAGTTGTATACATGTATACGTACACATGGACAACATAAAAGAGGGAGTAAGCAATGCCATGTTGGTCAACCATGACGCTAACTGGATTTAGAGCGACGTGTTCTTTAATTATACATAGCCTTTTCGGAAGAGCCAAATGCTGCGCAACGAAAGGTGAGGTGATTGGGAACATTCACCAACCGGAGCAGGTGGGATGCAAACAAGCATGCCATAGTCTCATGCTGTCTATTTTGTGCAAACCTACTCGGTGAGACATATCATCAATCAGTAGCATGACATGGACGGCATATCTTGGGTGGATGTGAAGGTATTGAAATTAGGGATTCAATGTGATCAAAATTTTTAATTTCCATTACGTAACACAAGTCTACGACTTGTATCGCTTTCCTTTTCTTTCAGCATACGATTTATTTATATTTATTTTTGTCATGTGTATAACATTTTTTGCTTTTCATATTTTGTCTATAACTTTAAATTTTTTATCATCTGTCTAAATTGTGTCCTTCCTGAACCTAAACATATCCCAAATGGAGTTGTCATACTAAAGGTTACGTCATGAGGTATAGGGACTTTGAAGCACTACGAACTGGCTTGCCTGTATGAAGGTGGCGATATCTTTCGATATAGTCTTCAGTGTTGAGGTGTTGATGTCTTCTGGTCTATTCTGCCAATGTAGGATTGATTTGCTGTTGATTTCTTTGAGAATAGTATCGTTTTCATGCACATGAACTGTGTTGTATGCAATCGTTATCAATGCCGGGCTTCTTGTGTATAAGATAGCATACATTTCAGTGTATATTTAGCATCACGAGCTTGTCTGGTGCAGTGAACATAGTTGAAGTGTCTGCGTCATTGAGGACGACACCACAATAATTAATCTCGAGGAGATCATGCACGTATTTCCAGCATACCAACCCTCTATGATTGAGTTCATTTCCAGGCAATTTATTTCGTCACGATATTGGCTGGACATACGTACGTGGCGTAGGATCTACTTGGCCCAAAGGGTTCCTAACAACCGTCGGATCTACTGGTGGTTGCTCCATCACCCCACGATCTTACCTCGTACACATGTTTTGGTGGGTAAGGTGAATAGAATTCCGGGTCCAGCTTCACCGACGATGATACATACTATGTCGATTTGTCAGGGAGTGATTTCTTCTGTCTTTGCTGTGAGATTAGACAACGATTCTTCTCTCTGTCTAATATAAAATACAATCGAGTCTTTCTTTTGCATTTTATTTTATGCACGCAGAATGCAATGATTCTGCCACATTTCAATTACACGTGATATAGTATTGGGACAAGATCCTTTGGCTGGTGAGACGTCGGGCATCTCTTCTTTTCTAGCCTTGCAAGGAGTAGAGGCTGCAAACGCAAATGGATTAATAGAATAAGCAGCAGTCGTCGGGTTTATCCCCTTGCCTCCTTTGGTATAAATGGGGAACGCAATCGAAGGCCTCATTACTCCAAGACACAGGTCAGTGGAGAGACATGGCTTTGGGAGGAGGAGTTGTGCTGCTGGCCTTCGTCGTGGCCTTGTGCCTGAGCGCCACCGGGGCGGAACCACAGCTCGAAGTCGGGTTCTACTCCTACAGCTGCCCTGCAGCTGAGCTCCTTGTGAAGGAGGAGGTTGAGAAGGCTCTCCAGGACGACCCTGGCGTCGGCGCCGACCTCCTCAGGATGCACTTCCATGACTGCTTCGTGAGGGTTAGTCGTTCGTACTGTGCATAAACTGTGCTGATAACGTGAAATGCTGACCGAGTAACCCAAGTTGATGTTGTATGACCACGTCAGGGCTGTGATGGTTCGATTCTTCTTAATTCGACGAAGGGCAACACTGCGGAGAAGGATGCACGAGTCAACACGGACCTTGAAGGATTTGATGTCATCGACACCATCAAGGAAAAGTTGGAAGCTGCCTGCAAAGGAGTTGTCTCGTGCGCAGACATTCTTGCATTCGCCTCCAGAGACAGTATCGTCCATGTAAGCTTTCTAGCTCCCATTGCCATCTCCCAATAAGGCGTTATGAGATGGAGAACAAAATTATCTTAAGATCCGTTCGCTGGACTTGCTCACCAACATGCATCTTAAGACAAGTTTCTAACTGGGTTTGAACAGTACGGAGGAGTTCCCTACAAAGTCCCTTCAGGAAGAAGAGATGGAAGGGTGTCCATTGCAGCCGACACCAGCATTCTCCCTTCCCCAAAATTAGGCCTCTCCGAGCTTACCAAGTTATTTATCTCGAAAGGATTGAGCCAAAATGACATGATCACTCTCTCGGGTATGTAGAAGCCATTATAAGCACCTTACGATCATGCACGAGACCAACTAATAGTGGCGGTCGCACGCACGTCATTGTTGCGCGCAGGAGCGCACACTGTCGGGATTGCGCACTGCGACGCCTTCTCCAACAGGCTGTACAACGGAGACGCGACGCTGGACCAGAACTACGCAGCCTACCTGAAGACGCAGTGCCCGCCAGGGAGCAACAACACGGTGTCGATGGATCCCAAAACCCCTCGCAAGTTCGACAACCTTTACTACCGCTTAATCCTGAAGAACCAAGCGCTGTTCACCTCCGACCAGACCCTGGTCTCGACGCAGGGCACGGCGACGCAGGTGAAGCGGCTCGCCGAGAGCTACAAGCGCTTCCAGAAGAAGTTCGCAGATGCGATAGTGAAGATGGGGGCGATCGAAGTCCTCACGGGGAGCGAGGGAGAGATACGCGCCGATTGCAAAGTGGTCAACTGAGGAGTGCACTTAGCTCGACTTACCTCCACATGGAATCTACATCGGAATTCCTTGTGGCCATTGTATACTTTGATTTGTTGGAGATTTCCTGTACCGTTTCAGGTGATCTTTCTTAGGTTGTTCAAATCTGTGTGGCATTGTTGAATAAGGGTGTCTAATACACGTCTTGGAGATCATTTGATTTGTTGAATGTTATAAAATTGTGGGTACTTGTCTACGAGCTCTCGGATTGCTTATGACTTCAAACAGGAGAGGGGCATTGGATACTCTGCTGTAGTTGGTGACAACACAACTCAATCATTGATGTACGAGGCGCCGATGGGGGGGGTTGTTGAAGGTGGTCGGCCCCTCTTCATGTGAGAAGATTTCGTGTCGAATCCAAATGCTCGCTAACTGCAACTTTGACTTTTCCTGGATTTGAAAGGTTACTGAATGATGCCCCAATCTGACTGACCTTTTGGATTTCATCACTTTATGTTTTGGCTTTTCTGATCTGACTCAATTTGGCATGGCTGGCTTCGCTCGATGGACGCCCAATCTTCGACTCGTGGATGTGCACGATTTGCTTGGGCTTCAAGCAAAAGAGAAGTTTGAACTATTCCTCTACCAAATCTAGCATGGGTTCTCTCAGTGTCTCCCGGTGGTTCAAGTGCATTTGCTTGATGGGTGCTACATAACACTCACCAATTAGCTCGGGTAGGGGCTCAGAATTCAGGCGTGCAAACAAGTTGACTTAAAGTTGCACTGTGTAAAGTTAAAGTTACTCCAAACCCGCTCCGACGCCTTTATTCTTCGTCTCATCATCAAATGGCTTGTTGATGACACATGACGTCCAATCAAGAACATATTCTTTCCCTATCTTTATCTTACTTTGATGTCAGCTTTGCTTTCACTTGCCTTTTACTTTCTAATGTTATTGATCTCGGTGGTCACCATGTTTTGTCCCATTTTTGTGCTATTCAACCAAATCGAGTCGAACAAATTTGGCTATTTTCTGCTAGAACATGGGGAAAACCTCAGCTTTTTTCCCTTTCCCATGCATGTGTGTGAGTGGAAACTTTAGTCTCACATCCATGGGAGGAGGTTCCTCTTCTCTCTCCCTCATCAAGCCCACACAGTTCGACTCGTTTTCCGTTCTGGCGCAAGCACGTCTGCTAAGTGCCACGCGACACTTTTCTATTGGCGCGAAGAGGTTAACTCTTGCGCACGTTAGAATTCTTTTCCTAAACTCTCTATTTTAATTTAAACTATTTTTAGTGTATTTACTATTTTAGTATTAATGCTCTAATACATTCAACTTTCTTCTCTAATACGGAAGAGATGGTGAAAGTTGAGGTTTGTTTATTTATGAATTCTTTCATAAAAAAAAACATTTTCTTCACCCTTTTTTACTTTTATCACTTATTAAATTAATATTTTTACAAGTTCCCATTCTGACTGTTAAATGGTTCTGCAAACATTCTCAAGGAACATACGGCTCTCTAACATTAAGGTCATACTGATTCCACGCAGGGCTATGAGCTGTTCCTCGAAACTCTGACCCAATGCTAGAATAATGCATGCGTTGAATTCGAGGCCCTCTAAACACTGTTACTTGCACGCATCTTCCCGGCGACTCTGGTAATGGTTGGCACGACAGCCAAATCGATCTGTCTCCCACACACTAATGCTGAGAACTTCCTCGCCTCCCAAACAAATCTGAATAAAGAACAGCGCCTCTCGCTATTAATTCGTCAAACGCGCAATTCGGTACCAATTCGCATGGGAAGTTAGCAGTGAAGACATCTACTCGTATTTATTCTTTCTTCTTCAAGCGGATCATTGACAATGTATACTTGTAAAATAAGCATTTTTTTAGGTCAACTGTTCGTTTCTATATCGATGTGTTCTCCACACGATCAGATACTGTATAAATCTGCCAAACTGTATGGTTTTTGGCTGTCTAAAAGTTGGAACGTAAGATCATATGAATTATATTCTTCCTTCGCAACAAGCCTGCACGTCGAAGGTGCACATGATCTTTCCTTGGAAAAGAAGCTAAGAACAAGACAGCAATCGAGCGCCTCACACATAAGTCTCGTTCCTAAACACGGCCCCACGTTATGCTCGGACACTTGTCAGTCCGTGATTCGTTTACCATTCGTATGGTGGCGGCGGTGGAGTAGTCTTTTGCAGCAGATACCCTTCCCAGCTTTGCGTGGGGATCAACTGGTTTCTCTTACTTCCCC